TATCAGTCAACCGAGAAATATATATATAATTTTTTCCGGTTCATTGAGAAGAAAAATACGCTTACGCTTACAACACTCTAAGAGAGAACAACAAAAAAGAAACTGAAGGCTTAAATTAAAAAATATATATAATACGAAGAGAACCTTTCCTTGCCTTCTAATCACTGTGTAAAAATATGATTATTGTTACTACCATTAGTATTATTATTATTAATTTTATTTTATGCGGATGGATATTGATGTTATTTCATAGTTGTCGATTATTTATTCACCTAATATTATTACCGCTACGATTTTCCCTACTCAGTGTACCTCTTCTCAAGCACACAGAGTATATTGGATCGATTACTAATCTAATAATTGTAATGATAATGATAAATGGTAAGGCCGGTGTTGCAATGCTGGTATTACCATATATATATATATATATATATATATATATATATATAGACACGCAAATCAACGTATAAGCGACATATATATATATATAATATAATTACCATGCATTGGTGTGTACGCATGTATTTCAATTACTGATGGATGGATGGATGGATGGATGAGTAGGACGATAAAAATAAGTAAATAAATAAATAAATAAATCTATTGAAAATTTACCTAACAAGAAATGGAGGATGCAAATTGAATTAAATTAAATAATAAACAAACAAAATATGAAATAACTGTGAACCTGATGTCATGTGTTTAGTGAACTGTAAAGGAGGAAATTGTTAATGAGTATAGTCATATATATATATATATACATATATCCTGTGTATCTTAACTTACCTATCGATAAATAGATATTACCTGAAGAAATATCCTTGAAGCCGTCATTTTCCTATTTCTCTCCTTATTCCATGAGTATTATTAACTGTTGTAAGGAAATATATTGATGCTTTAGAAAGTACAATTCTAGCTGACGTTTTATCAGTTCATTTAGTATGTGTAACACACCTGAATGGATTTAATAAGTTTAAGTGACCTATATAAATGAAAACAAAGCATGTATAGTTCAGTGAAGAGGCTTCTTTTCGACGAATTCATTTTCTCTAGCTAGATAATCGCATTTATGTATGTACTTTACTCAATGGAAGAGAGTGATAACAAAATTAGTGAGTTGTTACAATCATAGTTGGTAATTTTAGCCAAAGTATAAGAAAAGTGAAATAAGTTTATTCGAGTCACATAATAAAATCAGTAGTCAAGTATTGGTTTGCAGGGATTTCAATGGCTTGTGGTTGTAGTGTATCATGAACTGGCACATGTTGGAATTCATGGGCCATTCGAATGAACCCCAGCGGCCTAATGGTGTACGAGCTCGCCTTTTAACCAGAAGGTCCTGAGTTCGAACCTTGGTGGTGGCTGCGTGCCACTGAAGAGTCCCAAACTAGGTCGAAACAGCTGTCCAGTACTCCCTGCAGGTTTTCTAGTGGTTCGCTAACTGATGTCAGCTCATGATGAAATCCTGGAAATGAATAGTTTAATTAGTGAGTTGTACTCAGAATGCACATAGAAACGAAGGAATATGTATATATACGCCAATAATAGCCATAATAATAGCTTTATTCTGGACAAAAAGTTTATAGAGTGAACAGAATAGCTAACGTACTTTTTTGCATAATATTTTCTCCTCATCCAGGACCTTCAGGGACAGCTAAAAGAAATGAATTTTCCAAAAAGAGCCTCTTCACTGAACTACGTGTTTTGTTTCCATTAATGTCTCGATGGGGATTATTCATGAACCTTTATAAATCACATTAAATGAGTAATTTAGTATTATGCAGATAATCTAATATTCTTTTGAAAAGAAAGAAGTTTTAAAAACTGAATTTCTTTCAAAAGAGATCGTATAAAACTTTCAGTTTTAGGCTTCTTGTATATCGGAAAACGTCAGCTATTTCACACTCTTAAATACTTTTAATCTTAACCAACTGTTAAGACTCCACAGATAAAATTCCCCATGTAAGTGACCGGTGCTGATTTAGTTAGACATGCAGAGAAAATTAAATACAAAGACGAAACTAACTTAGCACAGGATATTTATACTACTAACAAATGTTACATCTTTAACACATTAGAACGAAAAGCTATATTACAATTACGTTTCATTCATCAAAGTTTATTGAAACTCTTTCAGTTCCCTTTGCCTCCATTCACTATGTCACAAATGGAACACAGTGATTCAAGCTTTTAAAGCCAAACTACCGATAGTGTTGTTTTACGGTGAGAGGCTATTAGCCTCACGCCTAGCCTTCCCTCTTTTCAGCGCTTACTATCAACTAGGTGAGATCTAAGACTGCATTGGCCAGCAATCGAACCCAGACTTCCTACTCGGCTGACAAGCATTCCGCCATTGAATCTCTATTGCACACCTTAATTCTAATATGCAAAAATGTCAATGAATGCTGTGTTCCTATTCGTTCGTATTCCTATAGCATAGAATCTATTATTTGTTAAAGTCACTTTTGTCAACTTCTAACACAGACGCTTATATGATGCTTGATGATTAACATGATACCCTTTGCACAAGAGTTGGACTGTGTGACCGAAGTGACCTAATGGGTAATGCTTTAGCGTTTGGAACGCTTGGCGATTGGTTCGAGTCTTAGTGGGAACATTATCTCCAACTAGGGATGGCAAGCACATTCAGACAGCGAGTCCCAAATAGGGCAGAATGCACATCCTGCATTTCAACACTATTTATTATCAACCAAATAGGACCTATTACATAATAAACTATTACCTTTTCAATTAAAAGCTTTTGGGATAGGAATATTTATCGGTAGTATAAGTGTTAAGTTTACTTTTCGTTGAAACACTAATTAATTTACATGGATATAATAGATGAAATTAATGAACACTTCAATATAACAGAAAATAAATGCTACTTACGTAAATCTCTTCTAATATCATTCATATAAGTCTAAAGATCTCGTCTATACCGATACCGTTGAATATACTTTAAATGAAAGAGAACAGATGATTTCATGAGAAGAATCTTTACGAAGACTTCTTATCCAATACAGCTGTTCATGTACAGTTATGTACAATTTTTGTGAGTGTAGACAACTGCTTTTACATTTAAAATACTTGGTAACTGGCGAAATAAGTAGAAAGTTGCCAAGATTACCGCGAGTGCAACTATAAAGCTGTTTTAACTGAAACTATCAAATAGTGTCTCTCCTTTAAACTATGTGTTTTCTCTTCACCCATACATCCTAATATGGATTTCCAGTGAATTGAATAAACAGTGAGTACGCAAATATGAGGTAATTCTTCGATACAATATTTGTTAAGTACTGCATGGATCAAGCTTTTGTTTTAATGAATGGTTCTCTTTTATTATCATCCCTTCCTTGGGTTCCTAGTAAAACATGAGGGTTCAGTAGTACATCACCATTCCACTCTGTTCTGTGCAGCCTTTTCCAGATGGCCTTATGATTGCTAATGAGCTTTCATTTCCTCTTCACCACGTTACCCTCAAACCGGCGTCAAACCTGTCGCTTCCCATCCAGAACTCCTCTCGAGTGCCTACAGAGTGATATCACTTAACAGTCTTCTCAGTGTATATCCAATCTTTTTCCTACTGCATATTTGTTAGGTAATAAGTTCTTCGTTGATTTATGAAGAGAGTTCTTTATTGCTAAATTTTTAACTATTCCTCATTATTTTTACTATGCAAAATTAGTGATTTCTTATTTCTAATTAATATCACTTCTTTCGTCATTTGGTAAACTTTGTGAGGCACTATGAGAACGTATCAGATAGATCTCATTACTACAATATAATGACACAATATACAACATATTAGGCGTTAACAACAAATAAGGTTTTTATTGGCCATAGAGTATTTAGAAATTATGCAGTTTAAAGTGCTTAACTTACTTTTTCCTCTTCAAATGCTTCATTGATGATAATTTGAAAAAAAGAAGTACGCAGAATAGCGTGAAATAAGTACTGAACCATTCATATCCAAATTCCTTACCTTTGACTCGGCATATTTATATAGAGCTTCGGTTAAAAACTTCTCTTTTCCCTTGGCTAATCTGCAAAACATATCTCCTTTATATCCTGTTTCATGAATATGGTAAACTCCGCATACTTTTTCCTTCTAACTGTTATTCTTATTGAAATATATTATTTAAAAGACAGAAAATCCTTTTAGATCAATTGTTCTTAACAGAATACTCTGAACTCCCATTATCGATATAACTTTCTTTCTGAAATGCTGTGCAGGATTCTTTGGCCTTATTTTGAAGTTCAGGTGTCACAGTATAAGAATTTCATAGGACTAATCCTTCATATGTCATGGATGTTTTGTATAACCAGCTGACTTTTGGCCTTTTCATTTAGATGTCTTATTAAGTCTGTTTTAGATTACCTGGAATGAAACTACTCACAGTATGCTTACCACATTAACTGAGAATGTTATCTTGGTAATTGAAATATCCAGCTCACTTGAATATTTCATAATGTGTTGTATTTTCCTGTTAACCAACTTCTCCATAATTTGTAATTGCACTATGCATCCCGTACACAATAGATAATTTCTGTCCAATACACAGGCCTAATCAAGGCTTATTTATAAATAAAATAGCTAAGTACAGTATCTGAATGAAGATCTTAGTTAACTTTTACAATGGCTGAAGGATTAACCTGGATTTACTGCAGAAATAACAGGTCTGTCATACATCAGATTCTTATTCATCTGTTCATCTCCTGAGCATATTACGTAACTATTTTCCTAATCCTGTATTATATCGTTTCTATGCCTCTTGTGATTCATATTCATCTTTTATTACACCTCCAAACTTTTATGTCAAGTTGGGGATTTTTTCACCGCTTATCATCTGCCTTCACTAGTATGTTGAATTATATAATAATCGTGGTTATGGTAACTCACATTTTTTTATTTTCAATTCACATTAGTTGATACAAAATTCAAAGTATTACACATTCACTAATAATCTGATCGAAATTTTATTTTTTTTCATCTTTAGTTAATTGCTAACGATCCAGATGAAGGTCTTCGAGGCAAAGTAACCTATAGTTTGCTAAGTGGTAATGAAGGCGGACAATTTGAATTAGACTCTGAAAGTGGATGGCTGTATTTGGCACAATCAATAACCACTTACCATTCTTCTTCAGCATCATCTCGTCAAGAAGACAACAAGAATAACAAAAATGAAGAGCAGATTAAATTTAAAAAATGGAATCCTATAACAACTTCAATGTTTCGTCTATATGTTCAAGCTACAGATCATGGTGTACCGCCAAAATCTTCATCATCTGTTTTAGACATTTTTATTCAAAAACCATTTATATCTCCACCACAAATTAGTAGACCACAAAAATCTCGGATAAAAGCATTTGATGAAAAGAATAAAAGAATAAACAACAATGGAAATATTGACTACGAATCAGAAGAAGCATTGAAGTTGTCTTCACATTCCGTAAACGCTGACGTTTCACATTCATGGAGTTCCCAGCTAAATCAGTCACATAGAGGTGGAGTAATACTTTCATCGGATCTATTAATATTGATTGCCATGGTGATAGCAACATTAGCGGCACTAGTTTTAATTTTTATTCTATTTGTGATAGTTCGTTGTCGTGGTGTTAAAACACAACATCCAATGAGACCAGGAGAATCACATTATCAGTTCAATGATCCACAGCGTAATCATTTACAGAATCATCATTCCGAAGAACAACAACAAACACCTGGAAAAAAGTGGCGTATTAGTTTTGGTACTTCATCCGCTGACTTACCAAGAAATAAACTGAAGAAAAAGCTTCCAGAATCTCATTTTAGTCTGACACAGTGTTTACGTTCACCTCAGCATAAATGTCCAATTCCTTGTCATAAAAGTCAAACACTGAGATCAGGTTGCTTCAGTGGATTAAGGTACACTTCAGAACAAGGAAATCAAGGTAAGACTTGCATGGGTATATCTAGTCATTTGTTTAAAAATTAACATTTTAAACGTTATTGTCGACTGCAAAATGGATTTTAAAATAACTATTTATTTCATGGTGATCGATTAATACTTGCCTCATTCATAAATATTTTTATAACTAATCTGTTAGGAGATGAAACTTAAGCTGCAGTCCATCTAAGTGGAACATCGGGCTTCAAAAAAACACCTTCATTTCATACTCTTCTCTACACTGTTTTTTAAATTGCTGCACGAATGCCCAAAAGCTTTCATATCCTTCTCACACAATCTCCCCCATGTCTCTCTTGGACGCTCAACTCACAGTTTCCCACTCGGGTTCCATTCAAAGATCTGTCTGGCGCATGATGTCACTCGACAGTCGTCCAGCGTTATGTCTAATCTGCCTCCATTTTCTTTGGCATATCCCTTGAATGATAGGTTCTTGATCTGTTCATTCCCAGAATTCCCTGTAGCTGATCACTTAATCTTAAGTCTCCAAGGAAGAGATAAATACGATAAGAGAGCGTCCAAAGAAAAGGCAGCTTCTTGAAACTTTGAAAAGAATGAATGCATATTCGTAGTAAATAAGATCTGTTTCAGTTACCAGTAAGCATCAGAGATCACTTAATATTGTGAAACAATAATATTTTCACTTGATATAAAATCCAACTTTGGCACTAGCTGGAATCAAAATTCAAGAATTCTATGTTTTGTCCACGAAACACCAATATTTGGCTGGTGACCTAGAAGACATAGTTTCAATCATTTGTCGTTTTCGCATGATCAACATTCCTTGCTGTTATGGTTTAAAAGTGCTGAAATCGACTTCACAAAGTTTGGAAAATACATTTAGAGGATTATTGTTTGTTTCTGCAGAGATCTTATTCAAAATACTCTTTTGAAATAAATTCATTCCCTAACTTACGAGTTCAGACTAACATCAAGCTGTTAAGCATTACTGCTTAAACATATCAAGACAGGACAAAACTATTAATTTGTTTCAACTGCATATACTATAATTCCGAAAGTTTTCAAATAGAAAATTTGTCTACAACTTGATTATAGATCAGGGTTTTCCATCCAGATTGCTAAGGCCTCGGCAACCCAAAGTATACTGCAGCATTCCATCTTCGGAGGGCTTAATTTGATTTTGTAAATAACACTGTATGAATTGTGCTTGTATACTGAGTGTCCAGTGTTGAATATGTATTCAATTATCCCACTCCTTATTGACGCATTGTTTCCTTTCTGTAATCAAGAGAGACAATGTTCTCAAACTCTCAAAGATAAAACAAGCATCTAACGGCCTATATACCTCAATTCATTGGAGAACATGAATTGGTAGATACACACAGAAGTGGTTAAATACAATAGTTCATCTTTATAGTTGTTAGAGAACACTGGGCAGCAAAAGAATATCAGTCGTATTGCAGAAAGGAAGAATGTTCTTCTCAAAGACTTTGATGTTATATACATTAGAGTGCCGAACATTTCTTTGTGTATCTAAAAATTCAATTTCTACTGTGGAACGGATGTATGTGTCGTTTGATGCTCGTTTTATCTAAGAGAGTCATGGAACATTATCCTTCTAGGCTACAGTAAGGTGACAGTGGATCAATAAAGAGTGCGATAACTGAACACACATTCAACAATGGACACTCGGTATGCAAGGAGAACTCATTCAAAGGTACAAACTGATCAGCAGCAAAAACAACGTCTGAACCTTTGAAAAACAAATATTTAGAGGTTTTACTATGACAGTTATACAGTTTGATCAGAATCTAAAGTACTTGGACACTTCAGGTATGTTTTCAAGTTCATATCATATAGTGTTTCTCTTATCACTCAGTAAAAAGATAATACAAATGCTATAGATCCATTAAGTCCAGCTAATCATATTTTTATTGAAGCGTCCTCAGAAAGTATTTGAAAATACAGCCAAACGATGAAATGCATGCACGTTGTGTATCTGCATACATATACATGTTGCTGCTTGCCGTTCGACGCACATGAATTGAAATAATCTATGAATGATGCAACAGACATCTCAATGTATTCTTGAAAATCAGTCCATCAGTCGCCCAGTGTCATTAATCTACTACTCAGCCACTAGTTCACATTTTTCGTTAGCACTAATTGATGATGCTGGCGTTTGAAATCTGAATCATTGAATATATCAGAAGTTGAGTCACTTCAAAGGTTAAAGTTGGAATGAAAGGCAGTTCCTGTGTTATCTGGCTTTCAGAGTTTAAACAAACGCCAACCTGGTATAGCAATAATAAGGAATTAAGAAGAAAGCCAACAAGTTTCTTAACAACTGCAATTCAACTGCAAATTTAAATCAGTACGCTAAATGATTAATTGTCTCAAGTAATAACAGAAAAGGATAACCGGTACTGCTGGCAGATGAACAGATTAAACATTATTCAGCTTTCCTCTATCTGTAACTAATGCTAATCAAGATTTTTGATTGGATATCAGATAGTAAGTGACCAATGTTAAGTGTCTCGTCATTTGTTTAATTCAGACTGAATTCTATCAGTCAAGTCTGAAATATGCCCATCATGTTAGTTGGCTTGGCATCGCGATAAACTGTGATTTGTTGTTATTAGGTTGGCAGGAAGACTTGGCCCTAAGTTTCGTACTTGCTGGCACTCCCCAGCCAGCAAGGTGTACCTACAGATTTGAAGGAACCCATGTCCCACCCATATCACCAAATGCTGCAGCCAGAGGCATTTCGACAGAGCTCTTCAGGCTCGCGGTTGACTTCCATCCAGTAAATCAAAATATTAATTCACTCTGTCAAAATTATTGTTTGAATGTTCATTTTTTGGACTGAATGTTGGTTATTATTATTTACCAAATCAAACACAATTTAAAAATAAACAATTAACATCAATATTCACTGGTTTAAACATGAAATATCAAAATTCATTAATTTCAATTCGGCCTTAATTAGAGAAATGATGCTCTAATTTTAATAGAAAGCATAGATAACTAACAAGTGATTATACTTATTTTTAAGATTATATATATATATACTTCACACTTCAATATTAAATTTTCAAAGCTAACAGCATTTAGGGAGAAAAAAGGGGAAAAGGAATCACACTCCAGTTCGTTACTTTCATCAAAATAACAGCAATCATGATAATAATAAAAATGATAATAATAGTAATAACTGTTATCATTGCTTACGATAACATTGTTTAGTGATCTCCCAAAGACCACGCCCATAGAGAGAGAGGAAGGTTATTCCTGTCACAGACTGAAACACACAGGCACACACACTCTCCCTCCTCCCCTTCATCTCCACCTCGACGCAGCGATTATTTCACTTTATCGATAGCAGAAATAAATCGTCTTCTTTATCATTTAGAAATAAAATAAACAAACAAACAAACAAAAAATATAAATATAAACATTTTAAAATCTTTTGTTGTTTTTTTTTCAAAAATTCATCTATTTATTTATTTATTATTTATTACTTTAGTCACGACACTTGAACATGATCATCTACAGGCGCATACTAACAACACACATTGTGTAGGAATTTTGTCTCTCAATAGAAATGGGGAGGGTTAAATCACAGAGAGACAGATAGAGGGAGGGCGAGAGAGAGAGAGACGAACAGTGACAGAAAGGGAAAGATAAGTGATGATGGATTGTATTCTTCAAAATTTCATTTTTTCTCTCTCTTTCACACTGATAGTAAAGTGTAAAAATTGAATTAAGAACATTTCAAAACGATTGACTAGTTAGAATTATTTATTGTGCTAGCTGGAAAACTGTTACAGTGAAAATGTGTAACAGCTTTTCATCACTTTAATGCTGAAATCTTTTTTCCAGATTAATGATCCTATTAAGGTGTGAAAAAGAAACAAAACTAAAGTGGTTATCAAACATTATCTCAAACTCGGTTTGTCACCTCACGAAATATCAAAGCAAGAATCGGGAAAACAAGACAAGCTTTCACTACTCTCAAGTCTGTGTGGAGGTCAACAGCACTCACCATCAAAAATAAGATCCAGATATTCAACTCCAATGTAAAGTCAGTGCTACTATACGGATCAGAGACGGCGCATCATAAAGAGCATCTCAAACAAACTACAGACCTTCATCAACAGTTGTCTTCGCTCAATACTCAAGATCAAATGGCCGGCCAGAAAAGATCAGTAACAGAGATCTCTGTCAATGAGCGAACCAACCCAGCAGGAACCGATTGTGAAACAAATAGGCAGGAAGAAATGGAGATGGATTGGCTGGCCATACTCTGAGGAAACCATCAAGTGACATCACTAGACAAGCCATTGCTCGAGTGGAACCCGAAAGGGAAGCGGCGAGTTGGTCGTCAGTGCGAGGGTGAGGGTGACTTGGAGGAGGTCATGTGAGGAGGAGATGAAAACGTGTGGACAGACTTGGAGCCAGGTGAAGACTCTAGCAGAGAACCGAACGCAATGGAGACGCACGGCTGAAGCCCTATGTTCCTGTAGGAATTAAAGGAAACAATAATAATAATACCTCACGAAATCCACTAATGTGATGTGGTAGATAGTGTGTTGTAGCTTATAATGCAAATACTCGTTGAATTTTCACCTTCAGTGGTGCTTTGAGAGGAATAAAGTCAGTTTGACCTATGCTTCATTAGCACTTACGGGGAACTTCTTCGGGACCTTATAGCGTTTTGATGCCTGCACAGTTTTATTCCTTCTGATGGATCGCAATACTTTGATCTATTATTATTACATGTGTACTTGTCTACTGTTTTTTTCTCGTGTGTATTCTTGTAGCATCCCCCCTCAAATAAGAACTGAAGGTGGAGTTGAGATCACAGCTACAGCTTGGTAGAGTTATTAAAGTGCCTATAACAACGTTTATACTTATTGGTTTAAAAAGAATAATGACGTCGAAGTGAATCATCAATTATTTCATCCATATTTTGTTTTACTACCTTTACTTTTAGTGTAGTCTTACCACAAAACTATTATTATTCCC